ATAATCCATGATGGAATTTTTTGTTTTTTTTGTAACCCATGATAGAGTTTTTTGTAATCCATGATTGAATTTTTTGTAATCCATGATCGAATTGTTTTTTTCTTTTTTTGTAATCCACGATTGAATTTTTTGTTTTTTTTTGTTTGTTTTTTTTTGTAATCCATGATCTAATTTTATGTAATCCATGATCGAATTTTTTGTAATCCATGATTGAATTTTTTGAAAATTGGTGATTTTTTTTTTTTAATCCATGATTGAATTTTTTTTTGCAATCCATGATAGAATTTTTTGAAACTTTGTGTATTTTTTTTTTTTAATCCATGATCGAATTTTTTTTTGTAATCCATGATAGAATTTTTTGAAAATTTGTGATTTTTTTTTTAATCTATGATCAATTTTTTTGAAAATTTGTTATTATTATTTTTTAATCCATATTATTCAAAAAGAAAATGAGAGAGATGATGATTCTGAGGCCACCCTATCCCAGCCATATTATTCACATATTGAGTCCCAACAGCAACAGTGCAGGTAAACATGAAAGATGGACAATCCTCGAAAATTTTAGAATGAGAACACAACAAAACACTAACATTCAAGGATTTAGAAATAATCAGACGCCTACTAATATCAATGAATTGTTAAACAAATTCAATCAATGGCACCAACGTGACCAAGAAGAACAATAACATCGTCTATCATTTTATTTTGAGATCATATGTTACTAATTTTATGCCTTTTTGTAATCCATGTATGTTGATATACTTATTCCAGGATAATTCTATATTTATCCTTTTGTGTGATGTAAATTAAATGCTGAATGACGATTCATACAAGGAAAGAACATATCAATATTCGCATATTCATTCAAAAACATGAAAATTCTTAATAGAATACCCTTATTTCTTATTGAATTCTTAAAAAACAATATTTATAATGAATTTTAATAAATTTTTCGGATTTTTTTTAAACTTTATTCTGACCGATTCACCTGATTTTCGATCCGAATCACCGATTCACCGATCCGGATCGATTTTTTGGAAGCTCGATCCGGATCACCGATCCGTTTTTTAAACCATTGATGTAGACCATTATCTGCCTCAACCAATATGAGATTGAACGCCACTCTCTCTCTCTCTCTAGAGAGCAAAAGGTTACTCTACAGTGAGATTGACAAATAAACCTTAAAAAAAAAAAAAAAAAAAAAAAAGAAAGATCGACATGTGAGATTGAAATGTGGACTGCAAGCCTCTCGCACACACATGCAGCAATTCAACAAACCCACCAATTTGGACATGCAAAGATGATATCACGCCTCCTACTCTCTCTCTCATTCCGCTTCCCAAGTCAAATCCCCAAAACATGTTTTTTACAACCACACAAACCACTCTTCCAGAAAGTTGGTCTTACCCCAAGTGCTATGGTCCCCCATAGAACTGGGGTTTCCAGTTTACAGTAAAACTCCCCCGTTATCAAACGAAGTAAGTGCTACACTATTGGAAGGCGTGGTTTCCAAAACTGCATCTTCTAGAAATCAAACATGCTCTTAATGTCATCATCATCATCCATGTTGCAGCCAAGCAACAGTTACATTTGTACAGAGCAAATTCCAATAAAGCAAATGCCATATCAAAGCCCTAAAACCTAAATGAACCTGTCTGGTTTCATGAATGATCAAGGAGGTGGATAGCATGGCAGTGGTTTTCATGAATTGCAGATCAAGGAAGTCAGATAGCATGTTAGTGACTGAAGCCATGAAGAAGAGTTGGAGCTTTTCAATAAACCATGTTTCGTCTTCTAATGTGCTATGCCTTCTGAAAGAAAGCAACACATGTTAGATAAAATAGCATATAGTAACACAGCTCTTTCTCTCTCTAGTGAGATAAAATAGTATAAAGTAATCTCTCTCTCTCTCTCGCTCTCTCCCCCGCCTAGCACATCAAACATTATGAGATACCAATCAAGAAAAGAGAAGCAAAGAGAAATGAAGCAGCAAATGTGATCCATACCTGTATGGGCAGGTACAGTTTGAATTCTGGTGGGAGCTCCTCTTCTGAGTATAGACGATCAGAGAAATAAATCCTCCGAAGTCGACAATTTGCATGGACCTGAACCCGGAGTGTCTCGACATAGTTTGTTCCATATGCCCTCCTCGTGTAATCAGCAAGGTTCAACTGAATCTGGTTCCACCCCTCATCTAACCTCAATGGCATCGTGCATATGTACGGCTTCACACGAGTAACTGCCTGCAAAATGGCATTTAGCATCCATGCGTGGAACTTTGTCAGCCATGATTACCCAGTGCGGCTGTACACAACAGACATGCATATTGTTCATCCCTTTTCTCTCTCTCACACACACAAGAGCACAAATATAAAGTTGAATGAAGACAGATGAGAGATTTCAATCAACAGAAACAAATCTGCAAAATGCCCTTGAACTGTACAAGAATGTGAAACATGAAAGCATATAATCAAGACAAATTCTAGAAAAGCCTGAATTTTTTCATTTGGAATTTAATCAACATTCCAAATCATATTCAAATGAAGGTTTAGTAGCTTATTATTTCTGCTAAAATACAGGTTAGAAACCAAATACTTCAGAATTACCAATATATGCAATTAGCAGAAGATATCAAAGCATGGAAGCTGATGCTAAATTTTTGGTTTTTTTTCTTTTGATTAGAGATCCTTTTTCCGTCAAAACAATCACATATGGCAATGAATAATTGATAAAACTTACACACTTGAAAATTTGAGGCCCTGAAACGCCGGCGAACATTCTTATCATCCAGCACCTGAATCTCAAAGGTGAAGTATTTCTTCAGGTTCTTCACAATCATAACTAAGAAAGGAAGCTTTATACCAAGGGTTGCAGCAGGGTCTGCTGGGCATGTAATATAAGTTGACTGCACATTTGAGCTAACAACTTCAAGGACATTGGACTGGATGTCTTCATCCTGAGGCCTTTTGATCTGGCCATTCACAACTGCAAGAAAGTGGAAAAGAAACTACTATAAACAGTGGAGCTGAGTGACAAATATCCGAGAAAAAATGTTGTCTATGTCATGAGGGCGTAAAGGCACTAAATATGTCTCACCCCCTCCCTCCTCATGCTCTAACAAACATTTTCAGTTATTTATCATAACTATGCACAAAAAGTATGATAATACACCAAAATAACAATCCCTATTAACTCTCTCTTCCATTGCTTTGAATATTAATGAAGATATATAGTCGATAGAGGGGTGAAAAAAAGGACAAGAGCCAAAATACAAATGCAAATTAATTTCAATTTCATCCCATATTTAATGTAAATTGTAAACATGCAGGATAACCTGAGGTTACTCACCTTCTTTGTCCCATATTTGCAAAGGCTTGCTCCTGTCATCAATATCCAAATAGTCATGAACTCAGTAGACAGTATAGGTCATATTGAGAAGGATATGACATTTACAGTCATCCAAAAATTCTAAAACGATAAAATAACATAAGAGGCGAACATACCCAAGGCTGTACAGAATGGATAGAAATCCTGATTGAAAAGTATTCCTGAACATTCTCTCAAGCAATCAGCTGTAGCTGTAAACAGTAAATTTTAAAAAATCATGCCATCAACACCTTGTTAAAAATCAAATTATAAACATTTCTCTTGGACTAGCCCTTTCGATTGATCACCAGCAAGGTTTCAAAAAACGCTAGGAGGCCGGCCTGGTGCCCAACACCCAATGCCCAAGCGGGCGTCAAGAACCTTTGGCGCCCTGTTGTACAAGTTATATAGACATGTAGTATATATACATATATTTGTGTCAATTTTAGAATTTATTACATGTGAAAATATTGTAACATTTTTTTATGTACAAAAATATGACATCGCAGTTGACAACAAATTTGTTCAAAATTTAAACCATACAAAATTTAAAAGTCTAATAGGATATGTATTAGTAATAGTCTCCAACTCTCCATATTTCATAATAAGTGAAAAGGTTTAGGAAGGTTCTTCAAACCACAAAAAATACTTTTGATTCTCAGAAACATGTATAGCTAAGAGATTGAGGGTTTATGGAATTTTTCTTTTAACTTTGGGGGTTGAAAATAACCCCCATAACCTATTTAAACCTCAAAATTACCCTATTTTCCCTTTTGGGTATTTTTTTTAAAAAAAAAGCCACGTCCCTAGGCACCCACCTAGGCACCCGGCCAGCCCACCTGGGTGGGCACCTGGCCCGCCTGGGCGCCCGCCCAGATAAATCCGCCCGTGTAAGGCCTCCTGGGTTTGGGTGTGCAGTGGACCGTTTTTTAAAACATTGATCACCAGAAGAAGCTGAAAAGTAAATGGCACTCTTAATAATAATAGGAAACAAGGACTAGCAATCATCACAACAACAGCAACACGCAAAATGATTCTGATTCACCATTTCACTCCTATCTAAATTTTTCCGAAATTAGCTGGCCATGTTTTACTGTCTGGAGAACTCGATGAAAAGCAAATGGCATTCTTACTAATAAGGAAGAAAGGATTAGCAATTATCACTAAGAACGCAGAAGCCAATTGTTTCAGATTCACCATTTCACTCACACAAGTTTTTGTAAAATTAGCTGGCCATATTTTATAATCAAAAGAACATGATGGAACAGAAAATATATGAAACATAACAACAAAGAGAAAGGAAAACGGTTTATTATCTAAATGAATGCTATCTGGACCAGACTGGAAATTGAACCAGTGAAGGCATTGGTTTGGACAGACCAGTCAAATTGGACCAGAACACAGGTCAAACTGATCAAATTTAGAGTGTTTGACAAATCGGTCAAGTTACTCGGCCTCGGCAGAGTGCAGGGAGAGTACTGTGTACAGAGGAACCTCTACAGTACTGTAGCAACTCACCCGAGCACTGTGAAACTCGGACAGGTCAGCCAAGTACTGCAGAACTCAGGCAGACCTATTTGGACGAGTGGCTATGTTACTCACTCATGTACTGCTACTAAACATAAAATAAACAATTTCAACTCATTCTCTCTCTCTCTCTCTCTCTCTCTCGCTGCTCGTTGTGCTAGTATGTACTCTCTGAACTGGTAAAAAATAGTAATTTCTCTCTTTATATCCTTTCTATTTGTCCAAACTCTCTCCATAGAATGTCCTTTCTTAATCTGATTGATGCACTGTTTATCCATCTTTGCAATTTCCCTCTAGATTCTCCATCTCTCTAATTTCTATAATCCCCCAATCTCCCTCATTACTCTCAAGACTCTGAATTTATTGAACTTCCTCTCTCTCTCTCTCTCTCTCTCTCTCTGTAGGCTCTCTATCTTTATAATCTCTCTCTAGCTTCTCCATCTATCTAATCTCTCTCTCACTATGCTTTTCCTCTTTTTCTATTTTTACTATTTTTGGATTTTCTTTTCCTTTTGTTTTTTTTCTTTATCTTAAGGACATTTTTTATATGAGGCAGAATTCGGGACAGTCCATTAGGACACGCCTGAGTTACTTGGCAAAGACAAGGGCCGAGCCCCAAGCCTGAGCCTAGTTTTGGAACTTTGATTCAGAGAGAAGAGAAGATTAGGCAAAACAACCTGAAAAATCTAGGGGGGAAAAATAGCAATTTACTCGGACCAATAAAAAAAATTATATCGTCATAGATACACCAGATTAGAAGCCGAAATTACAAAAAATGAAAATACACTCATAAAATCATAAAGAGTCAAAGATATAATGTCATAAATCATAAAGGTATAAAGCATAAAACCAATCCAAGTTAATAAAACTACGGCCAGGTCGCACCAGCCAATTCAGAGTTCAAAACTGTGATCCGAGTTTGGAATCTAGTGGTGCAGGTTCTGCTCTAGCTCCAGCAAAGACCAGCCTCTTTTGCCGAGGAGATAGACAATAAGAGTAGTGTCACTACATCCAAATTAATAGGCTTTTCTGTTGATCCTTCAGAGCCTTTCCACTAAGTTTAAAACTTAAGTACATCAACACTTAATTCCATCCTGCTCTAGAAATAAGATCCAGATGAACCACATTCACCTATCCCTCCAAATAAGCTCTAAACGTAACCATGTACTACTTTCAACATTCCTAATAAAGACCTAGCAAGATATTATCAGCCCATGTGGCTCTATTTAACCTATACTGAAAATGGTATTTCATGAGTTCCTCTTCAAGGTGCCTTTCAATGCATACTACCACTGCCTATGAAGCCACACAGTAAGACCATTTTTGGAATGCTAGCATCCCATGTGCATCTTTTGGGTCCCTCAACCATTTCTGCTTCCAAAACAAACATCTTTCCCATGTCATGTAGCCAGATGGACGATACATGACCTCCTTTCCTTGGTCGATAAAAAAAATATGGCCTATTCCTTTTTTATTGATCGCAGACATGACCTCTTTTTGCAGGATGTCTACAAAAGAATACTGTCCTGTTGACTGCAGAGAACCACCATTCTTGGGTTTTTATTACTTCTGCTAATGTCTTCATACGTAGTATCTAGACTAAATTTTCTCCGTTCCTATTATCTTTCATCAGCACGTCCAAATCCCTTGTCCTCGCATTTTTTGTTAGCCAAGCACCAGCACAGTTTATCCTCCAGACATTCTTTCAACTGAAGTTCCTAGTACGTTTGAGGCCATCTTTCCTAATTCCTTTAAAGATGCCACCACAAGCTGAACTCCAAGTATATGTGATTCTGATTTAACCTGCTTTAATGTTCTGATAAACATCTGAATTGTTCTCACGTCAACTTTCTTATTTGAGCAGAATTTTATAGATTTTGAGCTACTGATCAATGTGAACATATTGACCTTGATTTCCAATATGAACATTTTTAGCCTTAGTATGGATTAAAAAATGCCATATTTAAAAAATAAGATCAATTTTGACATAATTTCGTAGATGCAACGATTCGTATTTGGAATCGTTTCCAATAACTATGGTCCCGCTAATTTTAAAAATTTAGATTCCAATGCATCCCTCAAATGTTCTAACTTTGGGTTGACGTCATCTCTACTCTCATCAATCAAAGTTATGTCATCTACAAACAACATACACAGTACCTCATCCTGTAGACACCTAATTAACTTGTCTATAACTAAAACAAAGAGATATAGGCTCAAAGCTAACCCCTGATATAGGCATACTGTCACTAAAATCAAACATTCATAAAAAAAGTAAAACGAAGACCTCATTTCATTGTAACAAATTTCTTTGCCAAAATAGAAAGGACCTCCATTTAGGTTAAGCACTGAAGAATCTCTAAGAATTTGCAAATGTTAAAGAACAATCAAATGCATACTGAGTAATTTTTCACTATAATCTCTGAATAAAAATAACCAAAAAGTTGCCTTCTTGGATAGGCTATTAGAAGAGCAATCCTGAGTTTTGCAATGTCAAGGGATTGGTGTGCATCCTCAAACTTTGAGGGGTGGACCTTTTCAAGGTTTTATAAGAATTTAGGAATATCAAGGAATACTCCAAAGTATACTAAGGAAGTTTGCCCTGTCATCAACATTAAAGATATTTAAAAAACAAGAAATGCATGCCAAACTCCTTTTTTTCCGTTCTGCAATTCATTCCTCACTAGTTTGATAGATCACTAGAAAAACAATCAGCCAGCAAAAGAGGAAAGAAAGTAAATGAGGTCAGCAAGCTCAATCTCATACAAAACAAATACACAATGTATCATTACTTTAAAATTACTGCACAGAGCTTGTTCTTATGACCTTATTTACTCCCCAAATCCTTCAATTTTTAGTTCCTAGTCCAAAATAGTCTGCATATTAGTTTCAAAATAAACAGTTCATATCTCTTAGATGACCTCAACCAACGTTTCACATGAACAAAAAACTACATACCCTCAAATACAGCAGAGGAAAATAAATCCAAGTAATTTTGGAACAGCCAATTCAAATCAAAACAAACTCCATGGGAATATAAGCACCTTGCAATGAAACAAAAATTCAAATGAAACAACTATATAGATAACAAACAAAACAAAAAAGGTTACAAAAGTCAGTAGCAATGAAGAACATGAGCAAAGAAAACCATAATTTGAAATCAAAACCAAACGTTTTACTGTTACTGGCGACCCGTAAATAAAATGGAGGATATCCAAAAGCGCTTTTAATTTCAACCGGAATTTTGTAAAGATACCTATCTGTGTCCACTATAATGTATAATATGATGTAGTGTTTAAGGAAAAGGAATCAGACGAGTCATCCAAAATAAGTTTCCTTTTTTTTTGTTTTTTAGGAAAAACATGGAAAACTCCTTTGATTTGCAGGGCTTTGGAGGTTTTTAATGGCTAAACCTACAAAGAAAAAAAGTGGAAAGCAAATGAAAATCTTGCAACTTTGGATAAAAATCTGACTTAAAGCATCTCTGAAATCCACAAATTTGGGGCTAATTTTGGGTGGATTTGCAGCTATGTTTGGGCAGTTTTTCACGGTCATCTTTGCCCTGTTTTTTGGATTTTTTGGTGCGAATTTTTGAGCAGTTGGGTGGATTTTATTTGCATAAAATAAGAAGGCGGTGGCTCCCCGTTGGAAAGAATAAGAAGATCAGTTAGGAGATAGAGATATCTGACCCACAAATAGGTTTTCTTTTTTTTTAACTGTTAACTGACCCAAAAATTAGTTTCAGACCAGCAAAATCAATTAGAGAGAAAGACAGAGAATAAAGACCTGCAAATCAGAGAGAGATGTATTCTTTTGCCCAGTTTGAAGAAAGGGAAAAAATAGTATTATTCTTTTGGCAATTGAACTGCCATTTTTGTAGATGAATTCTTTTGCCCAGTTTGAAGAAAGGGAAAAAATTGTATTATTCTTTTGGCGGTTGAACTGCATATTTCTGTAGAAATATGGTTTGTAGAGCTTCTACAGATTCTAAATTTCCTGATGAGTAACAAGCTTTGAAGAACTTCTAAGTATAAAACCCTAAATTTTCAGATACTAGTAAGGTTTGAAAAGCTTAGGTATGAAACCCTAAGTTTACAAACTGAACCACGAATGACTTACCAACAAAAAGCAGCAGTTAACAAGCTCACCCCAACTTACCTTAGGCTTAGTCGTTCGGGGCTGAAGCGAGTTTCGACAATGGATTTTGCGCTGTTAGGTTCCTGAGGATTATTTGGTTTAACCGATACGCCTGGTGCCTGTAACAAATACGAAAAGTAGTCTGAGAGATGGGTTTTTTAAAGCCCCAGGTAAAAGAGGGATCGAGGTGCATTGAGAAGGGGCATGCCTTACCATTGAACTTAGTGCACTTCTCCCTATACAAGTATCTTTTTGTAAGGGACAAGTTTATATAGAGCCAAGGCTCTAAACAATCAAATTTGAGCCTACTTCAAATTTCATTAGTAGAGGTTGCTTTGATACCTAAATATCTTCAAATTAATCATCTCGATATCAAGATCCATGAACATAAAAAAAATGAATTTCAAGTTTTGAAAATAGTGTATGATGCAACGTATTTTTGGACTGTCAATTTTCAAGATTTTCAAGTTTTTATAGATTTACCAATCTACACTATTTTTTAAGCTTTAAATATTATAAATAAATATAAAAAATATATTTTAAATCTATCACAAAGATTTCTAATATTGAAACCATATTTCTCGACACTATTTGAAGGTAGGTTCTACTTTGATTGTTTAGAGCCTAGGCTATACAACCCACACCCTTTATTTTAATGAATGGACGGCTTTATTTTATTTTTAATATTTTTTTATAAAATATTTTGATCTCCTCTCGTAAACTCGCATCTGTAAAAAATATAAAAATAACATCTCCATAAGAAAAAGTTTATATTGCTCATCTCGATATCGAGATGTATGAATATGACTAGAAAAACATATTTCGAGTCCGCGAAATAGTGTGTCATGTAACACATTATCTGGACCATCTACTTGCAATATTTTTATGTATTTATTAGTCTACTTGATTTGAACCATTTTTAGAGTTTAAAATTTTATAATTAAAAATGAAAATAGATTCCCAAGCCATCTAAGAATTGTTTATATCTTACAGATGATAAAAATTAGAGGTGTGCCTTAATTGGATGGTTTAAAGCTGCAGACAAGCTTTCTATGCTTCCCCTACATCATAAAATTTATATATTTCTCCTTATCCAACCGTCCATTCTGAATGGAGGGTTAAGATTGCCCCAATCACAATGTCACGTCTCTACATTATTTTATTTTTATTTTTTTTTCTATAAACTATTTTGACACGAAATTTTGGAGGTCCAATCCCCTATTAAACTCGCACTAGCAAAAAATATAAAAAATTTATTTTCAATAAAATAAAATGACCAAAATACCCCTGAAAAATTCAGGGGTATTTTGGTGATTATATTTTATCGAAAAATTATTTTTAATATTTTTTATAGGTGTGCCCTCATGAGAAGATTGCACGTACCAAATTTTATATTCATACAATTTTTATATAAAAAAATTAAAACTAAAATGCTTTGAGATATCGGATCTAAGATCAAACGGTGTGTGGCTCTTTTGATCAAAACTGGATGGCTGGATGGCAGGGGAAGCATAAATCTTCTATATTGTAGGGAAAGTATAGAACCATTTCCCTAAACTTACAACCTTATATAAATCACACCCAATAAAACTGAAATGATCAAATTGTCCCTAAAAGTTTCAAGAGGTATTTTGGTCATTATATTTAATCAAAATATTCTTTTTAATATTTATCACATTTTCCTGCATTAATTTGTTTCATATTTATATAGGGCCCATCCTGATTTTGCTTCAGTTCGAGCTTGGCACAAGCCTCATTATCATGGATTTGGCTTGGACCCCTGGCAATCCCCAAAGCTAAAATTTCGGGCCCAAGCCTGCCTTTAACTGTTTTGGGCTAGGCGTTGGGCCAGGGTTTGCCCGACCTGAACACTACCCAATAACAACCCTAGTATGACCTAGCACTAAGGAATCTTTCCTACTAGCCCACACATGCTCTAACATTTATGCACCATAGGTGAACATTTGGATGCTTATCTTCTTCATGCATTTCATCTGTTTATGTAACAAGTATATTTTGAAAACTAAACTTTCAACTCTATCCTTCAACTATCTATAAAAAGGAAAAAATAAAAGTATCATAAAAGAAAACTAAAATCTCAAATAACTCCAAATCTAACTTCAATCTCCTAGAATATAATAGGGAAAATTACTAAAAAATCCCCCAAAATGAGCTTTTTAGACATTCTACCCCTACCTTAATCTTTCTTTACTAATTTTTTTTAAAAAACCAACTTTCCTTACTACAACCCCCCAACTAAAAAAGGTTTTTTTTTTATACCAAAAATACCCCTTCCTGTACCTTGAACGTACGATCAAATCCTACGGACAGACCCCAATTTCCATTAACATCGGATAACGGTTATTATTTGTCGGAGTGCTTATGAGAAAATAATATGCCGGATCAAATATCTAAAACGCCGGACTGAAGTGCATGTGTATCCATGAAACATATCGCCGGAGTAATCTGATGAATTGCAGGACTAAAAAATTTTCAAAGAGGAAACTACCGGTTCGATGTTCTTCACATGCCGGATAACCCATGATTCTAGTGACGTTTTCGCCGAACCGAGGCAGACAAACGCCAAAGTGCTTGGGATTCCATGAAGCAAATTGTCGGTCTACTTTCCTCATATGCCTGAGTGCCCATGATTCCAGTGAGCTATTCACCGGACTGAGGTAGTGAATTGCCATATTGGCCTTTCATCCAGGAAGCTGAGTGCTGGACAGATATGAGTGACTTCATCATGGGCCAAACTGTTACATAGACCTTTTTGCCGGAGTGCTTTCCATATGTGCTTGAGTGTCAATTTCAGTCAACTATTCACTGGAGCAAGTTCATCAATTGCCGAAGTGTTTTTAAAATATGTTGGAGCGCGTTTTACGAATGCCGGACTGCCTATTTAATAGTGAAGTATTCTCCGGAGTCCTCTTCACAAGTGCTAGAGTGCACTATTATACAGTAAACAATTCGCCATAGCGAGCTCATGAGTGGTTTCTAAATATGCCGAACTGCATTTTACAGATGTCAGACTGTGTATTAATAGTAAATAATCACCAAAGTGCTTTGCAAAAAAGGCCAGAGTGATTTCTAATTTTGCCAGAGTGCATTTTACAGATGCCAGAGTGCTTATTTAACATTGAACATTCTCCGAAGTGCATTCAGAAAATGCCAAAGTGCTTCTTAATTTTGTCGGTGCGCATTTTTTAGATTTCGGACTGGCTATTAACAATGAATCAATCTCCGGAGTGGAATCAAGAAAAGCCGGAAGTGCCTTTTAGTTTTGCCGGAGTGCTTTTTACAGATGCCAAACTGCTTTTTACAGTGAACTAATCTCCGGAGTGCTTTCAGCAAATGCCGGAGTGCTTTCTAATGTTGCCGGAGTGCATTTTACAGATGCTGGAGTGCTTATTTAACAGTGAACATTCTCCGGAGTGCATTCAAAAAATGCTGGAGTGCTTCTTAGTTTTTTCGGTGCGCGTTTTTAGATTCCAAACTGCCTATTAACAGTGAATCAATCTCCAAAGAAGATTCAAGAATCTTCGAAGTGATTTTTAATTTGCTGGAGTGCTTTTTACAGGTGCCGGACTGCTTTTTTACAGTGACAATCAAGATTTCCAGTCAAATGCCTCATTATTCAACTCTCATACACTTAACATTATTTGTTCTCATTTTTGTGAGTAACGCAGTGTTAGGTTAGACCACTGCCAATAAGTTCATGTGATTAACCTAATTAGGTTGAACAATGAATATTACTGAAGGAGATAGATAATTCAAGCTTCCCATCAACATCTTCTTGTTGACTCTTTTTTATCAACATGGATAGAACTGATGCCTTCTTTTTTTTCCCTTTATAATGTTAAATTTTCGTGAAAAGCAAAGGATTCTACGATCTACCAGGAGATAAATGTTCAAGAGAATGAATTGCCTGTAAGACAAAGAATAATGAGTTGGGTTCATCACCTCCATGATTACCAACTATTAAATTTGGACTTTACATAATGCATTTGTAAAATTACAGCTCCAGCTTTGCTGAGGCCAAGGAAACATATGTTTCCAAACCATCTTTGTCAAAACCATGGAAGAGCACCATGTTATTTTCCATTTTAAAATATGATAAGTGCAACGGATGGAGTTTTAGATATTAAATTTAAGGGCTAAGTTGCCGGAGTGAGTTTCAGTTTTGCCGGAGCGCGTTTCATAAATGCCGGACTGTGATCTCCAAAGCGCGTTTAAAAAATGCCGGAGTGCGTAAAAATTTTGCCGGAGGCTTGAATGATGTTTTACCAAAAGGGCTGATGTACACAAATGAGTATAGCAATAGTAGAAGATTGACATCCATTAGTGAATATGCTGGGATGGATCTTTGCAAATGGACTCAGAAGAATGTTAGCTCCCTTATCGTGTCATTTGAAGAAATCCAATGAAATTATTAGATCTTTTCATAATTTGTATCCATATTAATCATCAGCAATCAAAACACGCAACAATTTAAATGAAGGCATGTACATTTAGCCCCAACCTTCAATATCCCTCTCTGTTTCTTAAGCACAATTTTGTGCTCGTGAACACTTCTTAAACCATCTTTCGCCTTCTATTATGAATCAAAGCTCCACATTCCGAAATACAATTTCCAAAGCTAAAAGAAGAATAGTGAAGTGCAGCATTTACCTAAGAGCAATGACTATTCTGAAAGCCATGTTTCTACTGCCTAAAAACCGAATGATTAACAAAGTATGAACCTCTAGAATTCCCCATGTGTGCTGGAGGAATCAATAGCTTGTTGTAATTCTTAATAGAACAAGAATAGAATCGTGACCCCAAACAAGAGGCTTTCATACAAATTTCAGCAACCCACCTTGCCTAGTGACCCAACAACAGAGATAACAGCTCGAAGACCATCAACTCTTCAACAGAGAAGAAAGAAAAGAAAAAAAATCCACCTCAAATTAATCCCAAATAAAATAAATTAGGAAAAAGAAAAAACATGAGCCTATTAAAGCAAAAAACATGATGAAAACTCCATATACAAGAATATAACCTTCTTTGATCTTCTCGAGAGAAGCCAAGAAAGCCTTTCTCCTCGTCCTCTGCAACCACTATACAACACATGCAAAAAGAAAAATAGTAGCAAGAGAGATAATCAAAGGAACAAGAGTAAGATATAACTCTTACCAAGCCAAGGGGAAGTCATATCAAGT